AGAAGCACATGAGATGGTATTGGGAAATGTCAGACGAATATGTGGTGCATAAAGTTTTTCCTTGTTCTCTCTCTGCTCCTACCTTGTTTTTTCCCCCATGCCTTTGAGATTTTCCCTTAGGAAAAGCATGAGGTATTTAGTGTGATGTTTTCATGGGAGTTAAGGATTTAGTAGATGTGATACTACACCCAAAGGGGCTTGTTTCAGTGTTTAAGTTTACAACAAACGGTCCAGAGTTCTTTGTTGTCTTAATTCTGCAACTTCTTTGGTGCTTTAAAAGTGGTAAGAGCCAGTATGTTGATGTTTAAAAGGATAAACGGGGTGATCTGAACAACTGTTGGCTTGGTCAGCCTGACTGCTGTCTTGGCAGAAGCTCAGAGAGGCTGCAGCAGGTTTGTTTAGCACTGACAAAGAACAAATCTTACACTTGATTGAACATGATACTGAACTTGATAAATGTTAGCTCTGGGAGTTCTGACATCTGTCTCACACCTCTGGGCTGTTGTAGCAGGTTTGCTGTGGGGAGGGCTTCAGCAGCTTGTCCTGGAGTCAGGACCAAGCTCAAGCTGCTGATCTCCTCCCAGGTGAGTTTTTGGGCTACAGTCCTGGGTGTAAATGACTGCTGCAGAAAGTTGGATTTTTACAGGAACTTTTGGCATAAATTCTCTCCCCACAGCCCTTGAATTTCTGCCCTAAAGTGCTTGTTGTGCCTCCCAGCCTTGTATCTCCTGAAAATCTGGTTTGCATCCTTTGGGTCAGTGAGCACACTGACTGACTGTGGCCCCAAGGCAGACACCTACTGAATTCCACACTCAGTATCTTCCAGTTAGATGCTGTAGAATCACAGAATGGTTTGGGCTGGAAGGGACTGTTAAAGACCATTTAGCTCTCATGCCTCTGCCATGGGTAGAGACACCTTCCACTAGACCAGGTTGCTCCAAGCCCCATCCAGCCTGGCCTGCAACACTTCAGGGATGGGGCAGCCACAGCTGCTCTGGGCAGCCTGTGCAAGTGTCTCACCATCCTGACAGGGAGAAATTTCTTTCTAATATCTAATCTAAACCTGCTCTCCTTCAGTCTGAAGCCATTCCCCCTTGTCCTGTCACTATGCCCTTGTAAACAGTCCCTCTCCAGCTTTAATAGTGTCAGAGCATTGCTCCCATGTGTGACAGTGGTTCCTACTTGAATGCATCAGTTAATCCTTCTGCTTCTTGCTACTTGGGATTACTTGTATTTCCTGTATCCCTGTTTGCAATGTATGAAGCAAGAGGGACCTGAGAAATGATGAAGCCTTGACAAGCAAAGGGCTGATTAAGAATCTAAACTTCGATTGTGTAACTCCTGCCTGAACCCATAGTGCAAGTCATGCGTGTACAGAATACCACAGACAGAACTCGACTGTCCTGTCAGACTGGTGTGCTAAAATGCCTGTTGTTGTGTGACTTTGCAGGTTGCAGAAGAACAAGGTCAAGAGAACCCTGTAGATCACGATCCCATTCATGATCAGAGCTGGTACTTGGACCGATCGCTAAGGAAACGCCTTCACCAGGAGTATGGAGTTCAAGGCTGGGCTATTGTACAGTTTCTAGGAGATGTAGTTTTCATCCCAGCTGGAGCTCCACACCAGGCAAGGACCAGGGACATGTTATGGCCTGACCACTTGGGCAGCCCTTTGAGCATGTGGCTAATCCTTGTTTGTTCTCTCTAGGTTCATAATTTGTACAGTTGTATTAAAGTTGCCGAAGACTTTGTATCCCCAGAGCATGTCAAACACTGCTTCTGGCTCACTCAGGAATTTAGATATCTGTCGCATACGCATACAAACCATGAAGATAAACTGCAGGTAACTTCCCAATGCTCAAGAGAACCCTGTCCCTCCTGACCCTTTGAAAAAAACCCACCAAAACCCACCAACCAACCCTCACCAAACCCAGAAGGGCCATGGCCACACAACCCAAGTTGCTTTTGTGTTCAGCTTTAATGCATTGGATCTTGAAGAGGAATTTCAGTAGGTTTTGGAATTACAGTATCACAGAATCATTAAGGTGGGAAAAGACCTCTGATCTAACACTGCCATGTCAGCTGAGTTCCATGGCACTAATTACCATGTCCAGTCTGTCCTTAAACACTTGAGGGACAGTGACTTCACTGCCTTCCTGGGCAGCCCATTAAGGATTCGTTACAGTTTGTGAGTAGTTCTCAGGAAGCCTTCTGAAGCTTCTGAGATGCTTTTGAAATGTTTTTTCTGCCATTTCTTTTCCCCCCTCCAGCTGAGTGTGCCATGTTCTCCTCAGGCCACAGGGTTCACGTTTTATCCTGTTAGAGTCTGAACCTTGTTTTCACAAGTTGGGGATTTATGTGCAGGTTGTGCCACTGATGTCTAAACTGAGCCGCGCAGGGTGTGGGGAAGGAAGTGGGAAAGCTGGAAAGTGATCCCTGCTGTTTGCCTGTAAAACCAAACACTTCTCCTTTCCTCCCAGGTGAAGAATGTCATATACCACGCTGTTAAAGATGCAGTTGGGATACTGAGAGCTAACGAATCCAGCCTTAGCAGACCGTGACGTAGAGCCTTAACCACACACTGAAACAGAAGCATTGGCAGCTGTTTTACTTACTCAGTCAGGACCTCTGTGGACTTTGAGATTATATGAATGTTACCTCATCTTCCTTTCAGCAGTACCAGAGGATCATGGTACTATGTTCTGTGTATTCTTCCAATGTTTACAAACCTGATATGTATATGTAGTAATATGTATGGACTGTGGCATACTGTGAATGCTCAGTTGCAATAGAACTTTATACGGAGTTGCTCTCCAAACTGTACAAAATACCTCCTATAGAACTGTCAGAAACTATTCCAAATTACTCGTTTGAAAAATACTATTCAAAGCATTGTAAAGCTTCAATTTTTGAAATTTTATTTTGGGGTGAGAGGAAGTAAGGAATCACCCAATTTAATAACCAATTTACATAAGTAAGAATGCAGTTCTGGAATTTCACATTAACATAGAACTAGCATTTAAAAGTAGCGTTAAGCTATTGTATAGTAACATAGAGATGGGGGTTAACCATCTTTAGTTAAATGTATTTAAATTTCTAAATGTTAAAAGAAACTTCTAATCAAATGTCTTCTGTTTGAAACTGCTCTTTAATTTGAACCGATGTTTGATTCTCTGGTTTTTGACACTGAATGGTCTACATAAAAATTCTTCTATTTCAGATACTGTTCTTTGCCTGCCTTCTTTAGCTGACTCTTTGAAATGTAATTGATTTGATGCAGTGCTTTGAAATGCAAAGGAAAAATTGTGTATCATAAACTGTTCATACTGGTTTTGAAGGGATTTGAAGGCTTAGGGTGTGGAATCTAGTGACAGATTCGTTTATAGCTATTTTTGGTTAAGCAAGCATGACTTAGCAGACTGACTGCTGCTTCTCAGCTGCTGCCACAGCTGTGGCCTGTGTCAAATGAGTTTTGCAGCTTCACTCTGAAATGGTACACACAGAGCTCCAGAATTATTTGCGAGAAAGACTGAAAACATCACAAAACTTAAAATTGGCACAAGGGTCAAGAGTAGAAAAGTGCATTTCTCATCTAACAAGACACCCTGAGATAAAATCAGCATTTCTGTTCTTCGGTTTCTTATGGCACTGAAATGTGCAGGATGGCTGTTGGGAAGAACCAGGCAGGAGGGGAAATCTCTCAGGTAGCCAAAAGTCACTTTTCCGAACTTTATGCAACAACTTGACAAGCTCTGTGCAAACTCCCCTCACTGTAGTAATTCAGCTGCTGCTTATGATCAACAGTAACTGCTCTCTCAGGTGCCAGGATTCTTGTCCAGACACACTTGCTCTGCCCCATCCCTCTGACCCTGGGACAGGCTCCAGACAGATGCAGGGACTAGGAGTCTCTTAAAAGAGTTTACTGAAGTGGACTCAGAGGAGGTTTATCTACAGCAATGCACCTTGCTGTGCTCGGTGAGAACTTCCCTCCACCTCTGCTTGCTTGTTCTAGTCCCTTCAGCTGCCCTTGATTTGGCATTTTGTGCTTGAACTTGTCAGGTATCCTTAAAGCCAACACTTCAGCTGAATGCTCTCTGCTGCAGTATCGAGTTGAAGTAAGTGAAATAAAGCAGGCTAAGTGCTTTCCTTGGAGCCAGCTGGAGTAGTTGTGGGTGACTGGAGTACAGGTGCCTCCCAGTGAGTGCAGTGAATGTGCATGCAAGTGTGAAGAGACTCTGTGGAAGATGGAGTCTGAGCTGTTGTTCCACTTGGTTTTATTGCAGCTCTTACCCACGCCCCTCTTCCAATGCTTTTGTTTGTGGTATGTCCTTTCTGGATTTTAAGACTACAAGAAACAAGCTGTTGTCCCATTTGCCTGTTCTTGTTACATTTTGGGTGGAGATGGGATGTTTGAATCCTACAGCCCTGAAGTACTAGGGATACTTTGTCACCCCTGGCACAAGAGTGAACAGTAAGTACTTGGCCTCTCCATGCCTTTTATGGTTCCAGTTGGGATGGTGACACCATCTGGGTGTCTGTGTGCCATGTCTGTTTCTCCACCCACGCTGTTGGGATACACATGTTGATAAACTTACTTTCTTTTGGCAAGTCTGCCTTAAAATTAGAAACTGTCCTTTGCCTGGGAGGTGCCTGTGGCAGTCATAGGTTCCACTGAGAGCTGACATCTGTTCTGCCTGCAGCTTTCCCTCTCCTCTCACCCCAAAGTAACCCCAAAATGTGCCAGTTAAGCAGCAGAGAGACCTGGCCCTGGCCCTAGGGTGTCTGGGGAAGCTTTGGCACCATTGTGCTGAGTCTGACCTGCCCTCACTGTGTCAGGGTCTGCTTTGATCATACACAACTGGAACGAAGCAGCTCTGTAACAGCTTTAACTATGCAGTGAAGGCCCCAGATGTGCTTAAAAAAAAAAAAAAAGGTGGAAGGGGTGAGCATTGTTTGTCAAAAAAGGCTGAAGCGATGCAAACTAAACTGCTGGACGGCAGTGACTGTTAAAAGCAGCTTTAATAAAATTTGTAATGACTCAGAAAAACAAAGATCTTACACCACTGGAGGTTTTTGGTAGCAGATTAAGCCAAAGTGCCATTTAGAGGAAAGATGCTGCTTGAAGATGAGAATATATTTCAGGACTTTATATCTAAAAATACATAACATTACACCACCATTGCCATGTCACCACAGCCCTCCCATGGGAACACGGCCTGAACAGAAAACAGGAAGAGAAGTATATTACAGTAATTTCTTGGAGAACACAAGCCCCAGGAAGAAAAAATAATATATATATTACATAAAGTATTCTCACTTAGAGTTTTCATTTTGAGGCTAGGACAGAATAAACCAAAGCCAACTGTACACACTGATCCTGTCCCTAGCTCCGGAGTGTGGCCAACCGTGACTGCATCGCTTCGATGTCTTCCTCCTCATCCACAGCAGCAGCTGCTCCCATGGGCTCTGGCTCTGGGAGGGCATCTGTGACTTTACTGGGTGCTTTACCCAAGGCCCCTGCAACAACACAAAGCCTCGTCAGTGTGTGTTAGTTCTGCGTTTCTTAATTAGTAGCTTTCATGGACATCTGAACGAATTCCAGCAGTCGCTTCTAGTGGAGTCACACCCACGAGCTGTGATGGGCCCAGCCCATGGGCACTGCCTTGCCAGCCCCTGCGCTCCCACAGCTGCTGGGCGGGGGCTGGAGGCTCCTCCCCGGCCCCGCCGCTTGCCTGGATGCTGCCACCGCCTGCCCAGCAGGAGGGCAGCTGCTCCAGCCGAAAAACAGGATGGAAAAAGCAAAGCAGGCCGTGAGAAACGAGGGCAACGTGCCAGGCGTGCCCAGCAGAGCAGGAGCTGTGCCTTCAGCGTGGTACAGCTGAACACACCCCAGTAGCTGTATTTGGCACAGGAAATTTGGCTAAGGAGCATTCTAAGCACCATCTAAGTCAAATAACTAAACCAGTTACTCATTACTGCATGAGGTTTTCTCTCAGGTATCTCTACTGCATGAACTGCAAGGCAGAAGTTGCAGCTTTGGCTTTAGGGATTTTTTGTGTTTTGCGTTTTTTTTTCCCCAACAACTGGAAACACAGCATTTTATGTGACACTCACACCACAGCCTAGGGCCCAAGGCAGTGCAGCTGAGAGTATTTCCTGGCCTCATTAATAACAGTATTCAGTCAATTATGTAAGTTTCACCTTGTTAAGGGGATCCACTGTACAAACACTAATCTATCAGAACCTCAGTTACAGAACTGCAGAGACAACAGCTGATAGATATTATTTCTGATTCACCGACCTACACTAGCCTTCTCAGCCATGTATTTTCTAAGAAACCAGTTTGTCAGTGCTCTCTGCCCATTACTAAAGGCAGACAGCACTGGGAGAGCACAGTTTAGTCAGAAAAGATGAAGATGGCAATTGCTGCATCTTACTGAACAGAGCAGATCTCTCTCTCAGCAACACCCACAAACTCACCAGCTGTAATTTCAAAGAGGATTTTGTCAATTTCCATCTCAGCCTCCTCTTCCATCTCCTCCTGATCCTCCAGGCCTTCAAAGGTGTCCTCCAGCATTTCCTCTATAATTCCAGCCTAGCAGAGAACAAGGCAGCATGTGATGCCCTTGGAAACAGCAGAGTAAGAGGACACACTTCCTACTTTAACAATCAAGTTACACCTACTCCAGGCATTTAACACCCCCTGGTCCAACATTCCGGATCCAGACTGTCCTGTAGCAGGAGAGTGGCCAACACACCTGCCCACAGCTGAAGCAGGTATCTCTACAACTGGTGCACAGGAGAAAACTGAGGATTAAAGACCATTTTCTCACTTTGAAACCCTCAAGTTATGTAAACTAAAAGTGGAGACATTTACATTAGACATTGGGAATAAATTCCTGACTGTGAGGGTGCTGAGGCACTGGCACAAGTTGCCCAGAGAAACTGTGGCTGCTCCATCCCTAGAAGTGTTCCAGGCCAGGCTGGATGGGGCTCGGAGAAACCTGGGCTAGTGGAAGGTGTCCCTGCCCATGGCAGGGGGTTGGAACTATACGATCTTTAAGAGGTCCCTTCCAACCCAAACCATTCTGTCATTTTACGATTATTCATTGCTGTTGCAGGTCTGAACACTGACAACAGTTTGCTCTGAGCATGTGAAACAACTGCCAATCTCAGTCATGCAGCATGAACTGTGTAACTGGTGTCTGACAATTTGTCTTTTTGCTACCTGCACTGAAAGCAACATTCCTTTGCAGGGCCTGATACAACCAAATTGTTCTGGTGCACAGTGGTAAAATTAGTAAGAAATAAACTGACTTGAACTAAACACTCTAGCGTGGTAAAAGGGAGCAAAACAATGCTGGTAGTTGTAAGAGTCATGTCAGAGATTTAGTGTACTTTCAAATGAGAGCACTGTCATCACATGGAGACACTGAGCCAGCTGTTTGAAACCCAGTGTCAGACTGGCCATAGAATCACAGAACCTTCTGGGCTCTTGGGCAAAGGGGACACCCATCGACTGCACAGCTCAGTAACAAACACCTCCTGCTCACCCATGCCTGATTTATGTGCTAGATCTTACCTTCATCATCTCTTTGGACAACTCCCTCATCGTTGCTTGGATTTCAGGGATTTTCACTAGATTTTGCATAGCTTTCATAACTTCTGTGCTCTTCTGCAATGAACCTGCTACTCTCAGGACAGCTGTGAAGGAGAGGCACAGAACAGCTTGAACGATCCATGCACTGCCGAAAGCAGAGAAATTACATCCTCCCTACATGGACAGAAATTTGTTTACATTTAGGCAATTTAATTAAAAAAAAAAAAAGAAACAGGTATCCCACTTCTTCCTTCTTGACTATCTTCCTGGAAAAGCCCACCTTGTTACCCACATTGGAAAAGCCACATTTATAGCAAAGCAGCCAGTCCTGTATAATTAGCTGGAGCAATCCAGATCACTGTAGAGATTTCAACCCACCAGTTCACAAAAGAGAGAGATCCCAGGGGCTCTTGCCCAGGGCCTCAGTAGCCACAGCTCTTGCCGAGGGTTTCACCAGCAGAGCTGCAGTCCAGCTCTGTGTCTGACTGCTGACACCAGTGCCCTCCTGCCTGACACTGGGTACTGCAAACTGACTCTGGCAGAAGTGTTACTGCAACGGTTCTACAGCAAAGGGAGAGCTATAAAGTTAATACCGAAGCAGATAAGCTGGAAATAGGCACAGCTTACACTGCATTTAACAATACTCTGTCCGGAGGATGTTCTCATAATGTAACTTACAAGCTTTCCTCGTATATGTCAATACACAAAGATCAAAAATTAAGGGTACTTTGAGGTTCTTGAATTCTGCCATCTAACTTTGCAGATTCCTAGACACAGAGAACTTACCTGTTTGTATATAAAATGGTCACTCCTTAATGAAGCAAAATGAAGGTACAGCATATATTATTTTTCATTTTAATAATTTAAGAGCTTACACTTGTCACGTTAACAAACTAACAGAGACTTTGACTTGAGCAGTCTTTCCCAAGATGAAGCAAGTTAATACAAACCCCATACTGAACTGTAGATCCCTCCCTATTCCATAGCATCATAGAATGGTTAGGATTGGAAGGGACCTTAAAGATCATCTAGTTTCAACTCCCCTAGTTCTGGGGTAAGTGTATCAGAACATTCCCAGTCAGATGAAGATGCTGGTGGCAGGAATAAGGAGGAGGATGCTTTGAGTTTTTCCTTTAAAAGGACACCTCAAGCTGCAAGGATGGCCCTGCTTCCCTTTCCTGAGTGAGGTACATGGGCAGCCACATTTGACCTATTGTAAGATTACACTTAAGGTTCACATTTTAACTCCAGATTTATCACTCATCTGGTGTCGGAATCTACTTGGATAATGTTGGGGTGGTATTGGTGAAATGTCAAATACTTTGACATTTCAGTAGCATGTTCACCTCCACCAAGTCTTTCCTTCTCTTTAAACCTTTCTGCTCTGCTCCTGTTACTATCTGGGATGCTCTCAGGTATGGAAAACACTGCAGGAAGTCTATTACAACAGATTTCTGATGTGGATAAGGAATGAGGGAAATATGCTGGTTCTGGAGGAGCACAAAGGACCAAGGAGGGTTTACAGGTAATAAGCCACAGGGAAAATCAATTCATCCTCATCCAGGAAATCAAACACTGCTCCTCCATCTCTATTTGGGTGTTGGTAAGTGTCCCCAGACTTTTGCTAAAGAAACAGCCATTTAAACCATTTACAAGATGAAGGGAATTCTACTGAAGAAAATAAACCTGTCAAAATCGGTGACACAGGGATATGAGGCACATTCACACTGTTCAGGAACACACACTAAAAATGTGCCTCAAATCACTGGAAGGGAGTTCAGTTTCAGAGCAGGTGATTCTCACACCACTGAGAAGGCTCTGAGGAGAGGTGTGAGATCATCTCCTGAGCAGCTCATCAGAAGAAACACAGAGAGCCAGTGAAGATGTAGGGACCAACGAGGGGGTGGAACCCCAGGAGGTCCCTGACTACTTCAGAGCCCAGGGTGGGACACCATCCAGACTGGACAGTGGGGAAACAGCTTCCAGAACATCCTGCAGAGTGACAGGGGTTATTGCCTACAGGGACACAGGACTGTATTAACAGGATGTATTATGAGCAGGTTTGAACTCAGGAAAAACTTACTATGGATCTTTTAAGCGGATTGCAGGAATGTGGCTGAACATGAGAAATATCATGAAAATGACCAAAGGTAGAGAATGGGAGAGATCGAGGTGGACCAGGGAACACAAATTTCAGGGGCCTGTAGGACCAGGTACCAGCAGCTCAGGCAGAGCAGGAGATCTGGGGCAGGTTAGTTGGAGCACCTGGGAGTAGCTCCTGGAACAATCCATATGTTGTGTATCCATATGTATGTGCTCTGCCAGCTCAGTCCTCATCAGCTGATGGAGCAGGATGGAGCTATCAGTGCTGTCATGTTTGTGTGAAAGCTCTGTGTGTTATGGAGTGCTGGTAAAGGCTCTGCTGTGAGTGTGCAGGGGTGTGTGTCTGCTGGGATTAGGGGCTCAGCCTGGCTGGATGTGGGGACATGGAACTGCAGCAGGCTCACAACTCTGGGCCTACTATGGGAGGAACTTCCCTAGGCCCTGAAACCCACTGGAATTAGCTGCCTTTCACAAGACCACAGCTGCTTCCACATTCACACTCTGCCTGCATGTGACCTTGGTTCTGAAAACATAAACCTCAGGCCTCACCTCTAACACTAGAGCAGTTACTGTGCTTGGGCTCGGGATTTGTTCTTACCCAGCTGGTTCTTCATCCCCATGAGAACGGAGTTCATGTGAGCTTTGGATGCATAGAGTTTGCTCACAGCCCTCCGAGAGCGGATCAGCTCCTTCGCCAGGATCACACACACATCCTTCTGCCCTTTCTTGGCAGCATCCTTTATCGACCGCTTCACCTTCTCCTCTTCCCTCTGGATATCTGGAGCACAGAAAATGACAGAATCAGAAGTTGTCCTTTTATAAAAACAAAGGCATCAACACTCACTTTCTGGCACAGGCTGACTTGAAGACTTGAACACAGCTTCTCAGGTGGGAGTTAATGAACCCTGCACTCAGGACCAGTCATTCTCTCAGCATCAATCACTGGTGTCTTTATCCTAAAGGACTGGCAAAAAGCTGTAGGGTCATATGTAGAAAAACAAAGCCTTGCTGCTTCCCCACTATTATGTGCAGAAATGCCACAATAAGACAATAAAGACATGTGTATGTCAGACACAGGGCTGAGCCAAGTCCCAGCATATCAGAGCAGGTGAGAAAGAGCTGAAGTGGTCCTGCAGAAAACAGAAAGCACCAAGAGAACTCCAGCAGTACTGGGGGATTACAACATTCACTCTGACAGGCTGGAAACAACCATGAGTATTGTGCTACTACACCCAGAGTGGTGTAGGGCAGCTCTGTACTCGAGTGCTTCACTGGTATGACCAACTGTGAGTATGAGATCAGTGGCACAAGTATGCAAGAACTGTCCATCCATCTTTGAAGGTCAATGTTCCTCAAGTGAGCCAAAGTCACTACCCCAGTCCCTCTGCTGCAGAGGGACAAAGCAGCCCAAAGCACCTGCAAATGGACTTGCAAAACACAAAGTTACTGTATTACTCCAACTCTATCAACTCAAAAAAATCAATTCCGAAGTCACAAGGATACCTTTCATTTCTCCAGACTTTCCAAGCCCTCAAAAAATCAACCTACACCAAGCAGAAATCATTACAGCAGCAAGAGTCCAACAACAGATGGTTTCAAAACAGCATGTTTCTATATTAGTAACTGTGCTGACTGGGTGAGCCAAATGTTTGAGTGATCCAAGCCCACTCAGACCAGGTGGATCTAATGTTGCCATATTGGAAAGTATCTAGCACAGCCTTCCCCAGGGAAACTAAGACAGGTCCCAGCAGAGCATCCTTAGTCCAAGACTGCAGGGATTTCCTGTGTAAGGCTCAGCTGAAAGGAGAGAGCAGAGCAGAGTCCAACTACCGCAGGTAATTTCTGAGCAAACCTTCAGCGGCACACAGCTGTCATCCTTCAGGAGCAGCCTGCTAGCCTGGCAAGTGTCCAGCAGAACCACTTACTTCCACAGCTGACACTGGGTAAGATGTGAAATCCTAGCACGAAGATATTCTATACTTTATTTTAATGGGAATTATCAGAGTAGTGGGTGGTTGGTGGTTAGCCCTGAACTCTATTTCTTTGAATGTAAGACTCTGAAATACACACAGAGACATGTTTAGGGCTGTTACAGTAATCAGATTTACATTCACATCAAAATACTACATTACCACATAATTCAATATGTATATAGGCTATTAGAAGTATTATGCTATCTATAAAGATAAGAGAAAACCAAAATTTCAAGAAACTTCAATGTATGTGGATAATTTCCTCCCACAAAAGATTATGTGACCTCTAAAACATACTTAGCTAACAAGATCAGTCACACTGCAGCTCCTCTGTGCCTGACACAGCCACACAGTGTGCCCTGGAGAATGCAAAACCATTCACAAGCATAATGAACATCACTGTACATCAGTTTTCCTGGAAAAGGCACAAACCCTGTTCCTCATTTTACAGACAAGGACAAAGACAGACTTTGTACTGCAGGAGCAGCTCTCTCCAACCAACTCACACAAGTCTACAAGTGGGAGAAGATGCAAACCCTGCCAGTTCATCCAGAGGCATGTGGCTGAGGATGAACAGGGAAGGGAGAATGTATTCCTAGAGGAGTCACTCAAAACAAACATGTGCCCAATAACCAGATGCTGACACAAGATACCCTTTACCAGCACATCCACTGGACTAATCCTGAGCACAGAGCAGAAGACAAAAAGGGGACAACAGAACTTGATCCCAAACCTCCTCTGAGGTACAGGGAAGGCAGGCAGGGGAGAGAACAAATTTTGAACCAACAGCAGTGTAATAATATTCAAGACACCTTCAGCAATGTAATGCTCATAATTTAAGGGCAAAACACCCACCCACCGAGAAAATACTTTTTATTTCTCCTTCCTCTCTTCTGTTTCTAATTTTCCCAAACTGACAGGAAACTACTTTTGTTTGGCATGTGCATTTCACACCAGTGCATACCTGTGGAATTAAATACCACACTGACACCATTCAATAAACCCATGCAGGTGAAATTCCAGATAATAAGTCTAATTCATGTTATCAAAAGGGACTTAAGAACATTGTGTCTTACTGGGAGCATACAATATTCAGGTTCTTTGGAAACTTGGAGAACTTCACAGTGACATAATTTTGTAACACAGACTAAGTCTGGCCCCAGGATCACAATCATCTTCCTGTATTCCAGATGTGATGGAGTACCCAAGGTTATTAAATTCACAGCCTCCCCTAATTAAAGCAGAAAAACCTTGAAGGTAGACAGGGAGAGGAAGAACAAAAAATGAGACATAAGTACAAACCTCTGATCTGTCTATCAATCACTCTCATTTCTTTCCTTATCTTCAAGGACCACTCATTGACCTTAAAAAGATAAAGTGAGAGTTATTGAAATTCCAACTTTAAAACTATGCTTTTATACTTTCATGTAACTTAAAACATGAAAGTATCAAAAGCAGCACTTCAAAATGCACAAGCTGTAAGTTTTGAGTGATGTTAAACTATTTCATTATTCAAATCCAAAAAACCCAGAACATAGCAGATATACCACCAATTACTTAACATTCAGACAAGGAGTTAAGCAGGACCTGTACAGATCCCTTCCAAGTGAAACCCTTCTCTGATTCCATGATGTGATGTGTGGGTCAGATACACTGTCTGGGTAGCTTCCCATATCACAGCCATGTTGCTGTGTGAGGGAACTTGCCACAGGGGAATCCAGCACAAGGTAGAGACTGGCACAGGATGACAGCACCAGGAGTGCTACTATGAAATGTTACAAGGATTCCCAGGAGGTCTCCAAGCCAACCCCCTACTCAAAGCAGGCTCAAGTTCAGAGTTCAGACAGGTTGTTTGGGATCTCATCCATTGAGTTTTGATACTGTTTGAGGGCAGAGACTTCACAGCCACTCTGGGCATCTATTCCAGCACTTGAATCACTCCTGTGGTAAAGACCTTTCCTCACAGAATCACAGATGGTTTGGGTTGGGACCTTAAATACCCTCTAGTTCCTACCCCGCGCTGTGGGCAGGGACACCTTCCACTAGACCAAGCTGCTCAGAGATCCATCCTGGCCTTGAATGTCCAAGTCAAAATTCTCCTCTAGCCACCCACCAAAACGAGCCCAGTTCCCTCAGCCTCTCCTCCTGCATCATGGGCTCCAGTCCCCCACCATCCTGATGGCCCTCTGCCACACTCTCCCGTTTGCTGAGATCCTTCTTGAATGCCCACACTGGAAGCACTGTCTTACAGACGTGGCCTCATCAACGCCGAATGTGGAGCAGTGATGAACCAGCTGCCTCAACATGATGACTACAGCGTGTGAACGCAGCCCCTTCTGCCCTTACTGCTGCAAAGCTGCACTGCACTCCTGTTTGTTATCCGTGGGATAACCAACCCTTGCAGGACTGACTGCAGTGTCCCCTCTTGTTCTTCAGAACAGAGCACAAAATGTCCTGTAGAGTCATTCCTCACCCTGCTAGGAAGCTAAGAAGGTCCTTTTTTGAGTATGAGGGAGAAGAGACTGAAGTAAACCATCACAGAGCTCTGGCTGTCAACTGTCATGTCTCAAATGTAACACGTACCAGAGATTTGCTCTACAACTTGTGCTCTAGAACAAACCAACACATACTAAGCCTTCGTGTATAGGCACAAACAGCAACTGTCAAATAAACTACAGCAGAATTCAGAGCTTCTGTCTCTGCAATGCACAACCCAGCACAAAGACACCATTAACCACGACTGGCTGTGTGTTGTCATCAATCCCTGCTAACTCTGACAGCAGGAAACTGACAGCTCATCCCTCGCACAGCCCAGGAATAACCTGCTTGACACAACTGTCCTAAAGGCAGAGCTGGGTGCTTCTGTCTTCCCTGGTGCTTCCAACACTCATCTCCTGTGTTGTGTGTAAGAGGAGGAGGAGGAAATCCCATTGACTCACATCCAGACTACTTCATGCTTCCAGTTACACGAGACACAGCAATTTGCTTTGCAGTAAAGAGGTTGCACTGCCCTTTTTACACAGGACACCAGGGACACAGCTAATTACTCCAAGCACACCTCCATGCTGATGAAACTATTCTGCTTTCACTCCTGATCTAAACAAAAACATCATTCTCACAGCACTGCACCAACCAGAGACTCAGCCAGCAAAACACTAAGCTGAGAAGAGCCAATTTAGACTACACTGGATACATAACACATTTTTTTATTAACACGTGAGCAGTGATTTATGAAAGGCAACAATGAAATCCATCAGCATCTTGATGATTTCATTCCACTGTGACCAGAAACCTGTGGGTACAAGGAGGCTCACACAGTTTGTCTGCAGACTCACCCTCCCTCTCCCAGTATCCAAGTCCCGACATTTCGGCTGCTCCTCATTTTGCCTCTGCAGGAGGAGCTCGACGCTCCTAACACCCCAGAGCCAGAATTTATGGCAGACAGCGACCAACGACCTAAAAACCCAGGAGCTGCTGACTCAGCCTCCCCAAACCTCTCCACCCAGGATGCATCGCTGCTCTAGCCACCGCGGCCGGGC